AACAGCATTTCCTGTGAGTACAAGTGCAATGTCGCATTTAATAGTTCTTTTGCTGCTGCCTGAATCCATTCTGTTCTATTTCTACTGAAATCCCTTTGTCCTGTCTGCCCTTTCTCAGCTCCATTCTCTGAGCTCAGCTCCCTCACTTAGTTCTACACTTAGTTGCCTTTGTACTAAAAACAATCCTAAAACTTAATCTAAGTCAACTGAAGTATCATGACATCTGATTCAGAAAGTGAAGCACCAGAGCCTGACTTAGAGAAGTAATTCTTCTTCGACTGCCCCTCCTCTGATCTCTACACAAGTTCATTTGAATCCATAGGAGCAGATGAACATGTATTATTATCTGGACTTGTGAAATCAAGGATACTTTCTCTGCCCAACCCAGAACCAGAGCTAGGAACTTGAAGTTTCCTTTTTCCAGCCAGGCAGTAGAACCATTTCTTAGCTTCCTTGTGGCAGGGACCTCCCAGGAGTCAGGGGGTCCAGGCACAGGAGTGTTCCTTCGAGGAACACCAGGGGATGAAGTAAGTGCCTTGCTGAGAATCAAGTTCCAAGAGTCTTCCTGTGCTTTTATTCTTTCCCATAAGCCCCAATTCTTTCAGCAAAGGGATCCACAGGACTTGGTGACTGCTCAGAAATAAAGAATCCACCCTGTCTCACTTTCTATCAATTCATATCTGAAACAGTCACTTCTTTCTTTCCATTCATTCTTCTTTCTTTGTCTTGTCTCCTTCATGGGCTCTATCTCATCTAATTTCTCCCTCAAAAATAAAAATAAACTTTTCTCTGGAATTTCTTTCCCTGGTTTCTACACTCACTTCCTCAACAATCTCTTGTCTCATAAAAGCTCTTCTTTTTTCATAAATTCCCCATTGTTCTCTTTAATGGTCTCCTGGCTCTTTCTAGTAAATCTTCCAAGAAGCTCCCACTTCCCTCTTTTCTTCTCAGGATGAGCATTTCCCTCAGCGCCCCCCCCCCCCCGTAATCAGGACATCTTCTTCAGTAAGTGCTTGCTGACAACATCAGTTGTCTACTGGATGCCCAACTGGATGCCCTATACACAACATCCAACTCAAAGAATACATGACTGAGTCTAATGCTCCCTTACTCTTGGCACCCATACTGGTCTCACAACATTTTTCTCCTGTGACTGGAGCAACCCTTCTTGGTTCCTCTTTTCTGTTAGACCTCACATTAAACCCACTGACAATCTGTTACGCCTCTATCTCTTGTTGTCCATCATCGGTTGGGTTCTCAGAGAACAAACTGGTCAGAGAGGCTAGCATACAGGTCCCTCCTGGAATGTGCCCTCATTGTCATCTCAGGGGATGGTAAAGAGAGTAAGGATGATTTGGTGGAAGGAAGACTTGATAGAAGGAGATGCTTTGTGGACTACAGCCTCCACTAAGGAACCATCAGGGCCCACAAGGACCTGGAACCTGGGACAGCCTGAGAATGATCCCAAGTCAGAGGAGGGGCAGGTCTTTCTCCCATTTTCCTTGTAATGACATCATTAGTTCTCATTCTGTCAGCTTCGCAGCTTCCAGTGCACATGTGCTTGTCACATTTGGTTTCTTATCCCCTCCCTCATGGTCTGTCCTCTACAGCAGACCCTTCCCCATTCCTCTCCTAGAAAATCATCTTGTATCTTGGTCCTACCAGGCTCTCAACCTATCTGCTTCATTTTGCCTTATACATCGCCACCAGTGTGATAGAATTTACAGCATTCACATGGTGCACAAAGCCTTTTAGGAGCACTTTTCTTACTACAGCTCTGGCCAAGCCTTCCGAGTTCTCTCAGCACATTAGATGGTAGCTCAGCTGAGCTTCTTACATTTCCCCGGACGGGTCAACCTCAGCGGCACAGGAGCACCTTTGGCAAATCTCTCTCCTACATCCAAAATGGGCTACTTCTTGGTTGGCCACAGCACGTAACACCTACACATCCTTCAGTTCTCAGGTCAGAGAAAAGCTTCGCTTTTCTGATTTCTGCAGACAGAATGACTCAGTGTTTCTTTTCTCTGTATGAGCTCCTACAGTCCCAAACCACAGTCATTATGTTTTGTATAATTCTTTCCATACTTGTTCCCCCAAAGACTACTTAGTCCTTAGATTAATAGATTCTAATTTTACATCCATAGGTACAATTCCTAGTTTAGTAAAGAAATGATAGCAAGAAGCAGGGGAGTACGTGGGGGTGGATAGGAAAATAGACTTAAATATGTGTTCAAGCAGTTCTCCAGGGTTTTGTGCCAATGAACATATTTCCTGACTTCTGGCGCAAGTGTATTTCAGTTCTCCACACCTCCTACCCGCAAGTCCCTTAAAACAAATAAAACATATTTGGCTAAAAGGCAGTTGAAAAAAGCAAGACAGCATCTTGTTGGGCCAAAAATGTATATTATGCACCAATTATTATCTTCTGTTAATATCTGATGGAAGATGATTGATTGAGAATCAGGACATCATGAGTCGTCCTTCCAAACACTCGTGAGAGAATGCTGTGGGGGAAATGAAAATCCTTCTCCCTGATGGTCACTGAGACTTGACATTAGGACGTGTAAAGGAGGATGTACATGTGCCCTCACATGTGTGCATGTTTGGTTTTGAAAACTTGAACACAAGCATTTTTACTTACCTGTCACATATATTTTAGTTGGAATAGCTGGCAACTTGAGTTCATGCCCAGAGTTCTAGTTTGGCTGCCTGCAGGCAAAGGAGCAATGTACAGCACCAGGATGGTGAGTCATGCCCTAGCTGAGGGGCTCTGGAGCCCCTAAGTGTTGGGCGAGCCTGGTTTCAAACAAGGTACCGAAGCTCACAAAACACAGGTGGTGTCAGTGTCTGTGAATTTTTGGAGTCGAATTTCCCCCTGCAATAGCAGGAACTGCGGTTCCACGGGTTATTCTTGGTGCAGGCCATGAGGCTTCAAAGGCAATTGCATGGCTATGTGGACTAGAGGCCTAAATCTGGAGGTGTCCATCTGTATTTTAGAAACCAGGACACTCTGCCTTCCCTCCTTCTGAAGACAGGCAACTCCTCTGCCACAATGTAAGGTTCCCACTGGGCGGTGCTGCCCCCTGATTCCAGATATCTCCATCTGGGCTGAACACTAACTCCACTGTGGCTCTTCTCACTGGAGTCATTCCTGCAGGCGTGATGAACCCTGCAAGGACTACAAGACCCTGCGAGCCCAAGAAGTTCCCGTGTTTTATTGGACCAAGAACATGTAGAGACACATGTAACAGTTTCCCCTGGTAATTCCCGTATCCTTAAGTGTTGGCATTTAACAACTCTCAGCAGCTGTCCCAGAGACTTCTGTAGCTGAAAAGAAAACTGATGTTTACAGAATATGTGTTCATCAGTCAGAGCCTAGCCATGCGTGATCTATTCCTGCACAGGGCAGTCGGCCTCTACTGTTCATATGTGTCCTCAGTAACCCTCCATGTGAGTAGGACCCAGCCGCTCCCATAGCTGCCCCAATCCAAGGTCTGACCCTCTCATCATTTTCTTCCTTTAACCACTTCTACTGTGAAGTGTTGATTTGACATCACTCTCTTTAACTTCTCCCTCCTCCTTACATTCTGTCCAAGCTACAGCAGGGAGCCTCCCTCCTCCTCCTCCTCCATTTAAGTCTTTCCAGAGAATCTTTTCCAAAGCTGTTTCCATTTTTCACCTATTTTTCAGCAGGGGGCAGTAAAGTTCAATTTACTTTTAGCTTCCTCAACCTTTCCTTTAAGGCAAGACCAGATTTCACAGCAAAGGCAAAGCCAAATGTCACTGATGATTTTAAGAGTTATCTTTGACTTAAAGGGAGCACCGGATGGGACAAGAGGGTTTGCTATGTGGTGAGGGTTATAGTCCTCAGGTAGGAGACTCCAAGAGCAAGCAGGATCCTCCCACATGTGTTATATTCTTTAAATAAAAGGTAAAGGCATGATGCTCAAAGCGTGGATACCTAAGAATCAAAATCTCCTTTAATCTGAAGTAAATAAGAATTTTATTCAGCGTCAACTGTGTGTCTTAGGGAACTAGAGTGAAGGGCTCTGGCCCAGGAGGAATGCCGGGCTTGGTCCTGTGGCTCATAATAAAAGCTAAGGACTTTTCTGCTGAGAAGGAATACAGAAATGGAAGAGGGAGGAAGCAGTTGATCTGCACTTTGCTTACTGCAGCAGTAGCCAAAGGCAACATTTAGCTTATGCTACCAGAGCGTGTACTGGAATAACTTCAGATGCAAATTTTCTTTTCTGGCCTTGTGGATGGTAGTTAAAGGAAAATGACTCTAAAATTATTGTAGATGAAGCTTATATTAACAAAGTCGCTAAAGCCTAAGTAAATCAGTGAAAATAGGACTGAGAAAGCTGTGTAATTATCGTATAGAAATGAGACTCTATTTTTCGGAGAACTCAATGAATGTTACCGCTCCTAAGCGGTTGCCTCATTAACGTTTGCTTCCCCTGCCCCTGTCTCAGGAGCTCTGATTGCAGGGCCTTTCTTTTGAACATTCTTTTTTCTCTGGTCTGCGGTGTGAATTATTCCTACTTCTCAGAACTCAGCTCAAACTTCACCTCGTTTTTGACATTACCAATTAGGCGAAATCCTCTTAGCATCTTTCAAACCTCGGTAGTGCTCATTTTCGTAGTTTGGAAAACAACTGTCACCAGTAATTTATTTTGTACTTTGGCTAGAGTAAAGGACTGTGAATGTTTGAAATGAAAACAAAGGACGGGGTTTGAGAAGGCTGGTGTGTCAGCTGGCCCCTTGAGGCCACGTATAGCGCTCCTAAAAATTATTTAAACGGGAAAGGTGAACCAAGATAACAAAGCCAAGCATCAGGCCTACCGTGGGCGAAAGAGGGAATAAGAATGTGAGGCTTCTCATGGGAGAGCGGCAAAGAGGAAGCTGCTAAATAGGACAGCTGTGGGGCCCAGAGCGTCCAAAAGGGCTGCGTCTTCCTCACACAGTGGCTGCACCAGGAGCCGTCCTGCTTCCTCAGGACGGAGGACACCTGCAGTTGTCACCCTGAGCGTGTCATGGCTTGCAGGCTCCTCTGCTATGTGGCATTTTACTTCCTGGGAACAGGTAAGTCACAGATTTAGACTTTTCCAAATTCAGGAAGGACAATTTGTGTACGGTGGGTTTCTTCCTGGCCCATTTTGGACTCTGTGACCAATTTTGTCTCCTCCTCCTCAGATGCTGGTGTCTCCCAGATTCCAAGACACTGCATTACAGAGACAGGAAAGAAGATTGTTCTGGAATGTTCGCAAACTATGGGCCACAACAACATGTACTGGTACAGACAGGATCTGGGCAGGGCACTGCGGCTGATCCATTACTCCTACGGCATTAACACCACAGAGAAAGGAGAGCTGCCATCTGAGTCGACAGTCTCCAGAGAAAGATTGGAGCATTTCCCGCTGACCCTGGAGTCACCCAGCCCCACACACACATCTCAGTACTTCTGCGCCAGCTCTGAATACACAGTGCCACACGGTCACCTACATCCTGCACAAAAAGGGTAGTCCCTAAGGTGAGGAAGTCCTGCCTTCGGGGTTCTCGCCTGCAGAAGCTACTCTAAGTCTCCACAAACTCTTCAGCCCTGGCGACCAGCAAGGTCTGAGTAACAGGATGGCCTAAAAACTAACTCTTGGTCAATCTCTGCTGAGCTCAACAGTCAGTGCTGACTTCTCCCATGTATCCAACTCCACCTGCTCACCTGCTGATGTTGCACATATTTTGGCTTTCAAAAACATTGGTGTAATACTTTATTCTTTTCTCCCTTTATTTTCTCCTGATTTTTTCCTCCTGGTTTTTGTCTGCTTTGCTTTTCCTTTTCTTAATCTATATGTACATTTTAAACAATCTCATTTGGCCTATTATTCAAACCACACTTCTCATCCGTCCTAAGCTTGTCCCCTAAATTCACCCACTAAATATGTCTATACCCATATGTCACAGGCCCCTCAATTCAGCCAGCCCCGAGAACAGCCACCCCAGCATGTGGTTCCTCCACCACCCTTAGGGCCACTTGTGGCACGTTTCAGTAATTCTCTTACCTATGATTCCTGAAAATGATTCCAGTGTGTCCGTGATGACAAATGTGTTAGAGCTTTCAGTAAGGCACAGAAGCCACTGTGGTACCTTGTAGTAGGTTCACCACCTCAGGGATAGAGCGTTCCGTTACATTTATGCATCTTCAAACTGTTGGACATCCGGATTGCTCCAGTGGTAAGCTATTATGAATACAGCAATGATGAACAATTACATGTGCCTCTTTGTGAGGGCACACATTCTACAGGCCTGAGATTGCTGAGTCCCACTGTATCTGATGCATTGTAAAACAAAATAAAGCAGCCAAATATTTTTGCAGGTGGCTATTTCACGATCCATTGCCACCACCACTGGCCACCATGTCCTTCGCAGCTCTTGTCATTTCCCTGGCAATTATATGATGTTATCTCCCTGGGTTTTAAATTTCCCATTTCTTTAGTGGCAAATAAAATTGAGACTCTTGTACAGTGCTTGGTAAAATACTTATTCAAAATTTTACACATTTTAATTGGGTTGTCTTTGTATTTACTTTATATAGAGAGCACCCTTTCCTGATGTATGACTTTCAAGTTTACTCCTCTTAATAGCATTATAGATGCTTTAGCTCTTACATTGTGTTTGTTGGTTTTGTTTTGTTTTATTGATACAGAGTCTTGCTACAAAGCTTGGACTTATAGTGATCCTCCTGTCTCAGCCTCCTCAGCACTGGGATTAGAGGTGTGCACCACCATGACAGGTTCTGGGGATGGCACAGCACGCAGTGCCAGGGATCAAACTTGGCTCCTTGCGCTTGCCAGACAGGTGCTTAGACCGCCGAGCCATCTCTCAAGCCCCTAGCTCTTGTACTGTTACTGCTTAAATAGTTTCTCCTCCTCCTCTATTTTACATTCAGGGCATGTATGCCTTTAATTCTTTTTATTTATTTATTTATTTTACTGAGAAAGAAATAGCAATGAGACAGTTTCAAAACAGGTTAGTAGG